TATAATGGGAGAAAGACCAGATAGGATATTAGTATCATGGATCAAGCTGGAATGACCATAAATCCTTTCATGTGCATACAGAATCACTGGTCCAGTGCTGGGAGAGAGACCTCAGAGGTCATCTAATTCAACCTCATTTTACAGAACAGGAAACAGAGGCCCAGGAAGATGGTGATTTGTTCAAAGTCACAGTCATCCACAGAAGCAGGATTTGAATCTGGGTCCTTTGACTTCCCCAATTATGGCTCTGCCTCTTACTACGTAATCTTGGCCAAGGTATTTAGCTTCTGGGCCTTTCTTTAGCTATCAAATGAAGAGACTAGATTGAATGGCCCGTAAAGGCCCTTCCAACTTTAAATCCAATGGCTCTAGCGGGTGGGTCTCTAAGGACACCAGCACAACTTGTATGACAACATGCAAGCCACATAAACTCTCCAAGTCTCAGCTTATCTCTAAAATGGGGACAATACATTACCTACCTCCCAGGTCTGTTGTGAGGAAAGAACTTTGTAAACCTCAAAGTCCCATATACAGACGAGGTATAATGATCATGTTTGGGATTATTTTAGACCCCAAGATTTCTTTGCAAACATAGAAAGGCTAATATTGATAGAGCACTTGAAAGTTGAATGCATGTGTGTGTTTGACAAGCTTTACATGTTATCTCACTGTCCTAGCACAATCATGACATAATGTGTTGTTCAGTTGTATCCAACTCTTCATGACCCCTTTTGGAATTTTCTTGGCAGAAATGCCGGTGTGGTTTGTCATTTCCTTTTCCAAGCTTATTTTACAGATGAAGAAACTAAAGAAAACAAAGTTAAATGACTGGCCCAGTATCACAGTTAGTGCAAGGCCACATGTGAACTCAGGTCTTCCTGACTCTGGGCCCGGTGCTCTATCCACTGCACCACCTAACTGCATAGGGGACTGATTACTGCAGACATAATTTCTCCATCTTGCAAATGAGGAAACTGAAGCTCAGGAGGCGAAATGTACAGTCCATAGTGTTACAAGCAAAAGTGTCAAAGGTAACATTTGAACCCAGGTCTTCCTAACCCCAAGCCCAAAGCTTTTTCCACGTTACCATGTAGGAGAGTTGTACGGGGAAGCTAGGTGGCGCAGTGGATACAGCACCAGGCCTGGAGTCAAGAAGACCTGAGTTCAAATATAACCTCAGATACTTACTAGCTGTGTAACCCTGAGCAAGTCACTTAACTCTATTTGGCTCAGTTTCCTCATCTGTAAAATGAACTACAGAACAAAATGGCAAACCACTCCAGTATCTCCGCCAAGATAATCTCAAATGGGGTCACAGAGTTGGATACAACTGAAATGACTAAACAACCACCACCTGTGCTTAAAAGATATTTCCTTCTTGGCTAGAGTGTCCTGGTCAATCACCATTCTCCACTTATGGGGGAAAATGTCATTGTTCACTAGAGCCCCCTCTCCCCTGGATAGTGCTAGATAAAAAACGGCAGATTCTTCCTCTAGACTCCACGCAAAGTCTCCAATGTTTTCTTAAATATATCATTCCTGGGATGAGCGTTTCTCTGCATCACTTCTCCCTCTGTATCCACAACACACACTCCAGTGGATCATTAGCCACCTCCATTTGGGCATTCCTAGCAACAATGCAGACTTGAAGCCCTCCGTGCCACTCGTGCTCCTGGGCAAAGGATGCTTTCCAGGAAGGTGTGCCACACCCAACTTGCCAAGATGCCAGTGGAGCATGTAATTGTCT